CGTGCGACCGATATTATGAAAAGAGGTTTAATAAGATGCAACGCAGTTATAAAAAATATGGAGTAAAACGATTGCGTTGGTGGTAAAATTATATATATTTTTTTGTGCTTTGTATTTTATAAAATAATTTATATTAAATGTACATACTTATTGTTGTTTAATAAATTTGAATATTTACCAAGTAACTGATTCTTTTTGTTATTATTATTATTAAAGCAATTTATCATCTGACATAGACACCAAGATTTATGAATGTGGTAAAAAGAAAAAAATAAAAAAAGGACACTATAATGCTTAATGAAGAGATGATCCAGCAACTCCACTTAACATATACAATAATTATTTATGCACTTGCAAACATTGATTCATTGATTATTAAAATCGGTTGGGTAAGTCTTGCACTTCAGTCTTCGACGATGATCTGCACTATGCATCAGCTCCATAGCCAGTTGATTTGGGTGATTCTCTAGCCGATGATGGTATCTTGTGCTAGCCTTTGCTATTTCTTCCTTGACGAAACTGATGTTAGCATGCTTATGGATGTCATCGTTTGTGAAGAACCATAGAGCATTGGTAATTTTCCTTAGCGTTTTGGACTGGAATCTCTGTATTATATCAATACTGGTGTTACAGGCATATCCCCAAAGCTGAATACCGTAGGTTTCGGTTTTAGAATAGCTTTATACAGGAGCACTTTGTTTTCTGTTGATATGCAACAGTGTCTTCATATAAGCCAGTCCAGCTTCCTAGCCCTCAGATTGTGACATTTTCTTTTGATTGCTATATGCGTTTTCCAAGTAAGGCGTTGGTCTAGGTGCATGCCAAAGCATTGGCATCATTTTCCTGAGGCAGAGTGGATCCGTTTGATAGGACTGGAGGACAGGTCTGTCGACGCATAGTAAATGTCACATGGACCGACTTAGCCTCGTTGGCTATAATTCTCCACTTTTAGCCAGTTTTCGATGTTAATAAGGCTCATCATAATGGTAACTATCCACTGGGAAAGATTACCTACCTAATGTCAACCGCGATCTAAAATTTACTGAATGAACAGATTGCAAATTACATGACGGAAAAAAGAATAATACTACTTCCAAATGTATTTCTTGGAGATAGAATACTTGGTAATCATAGAAATTAAATGGAATATATGGGGAATACAAAGCTTTTGGTATAACACTTCTATCTTCCGCAATTTGGCTGTAATTTGCTGTAAAAAAAGTATCGTGAGACAAAATTTTATTTAACCTAATATTTGTTCATTTACTTTTCATATAAAATTATTGAAATTTGTTTTTAAAGGAAACGAAAAGATATTATAAGAAAAAGTATAGCTTTCTCATATTAATTATTAAGGGTGTGTTTTTCTAAATTCTTGTTAATTCAATAAACTTGCTTCTTGTTACATACATACATAATAAAATATACCTGATTTTACGACCCTAATAAATGAGCCCAGCCATTTTCGCATTTTTCATTTTAAATACTATTAATTACTATTTTTACTGGGCCAACGGATGGGTTTTTCTAAATTCATGTTAATAATATAATATACCTGATTTTACGACCCCAATAAACACATTGGCTTGTTGGCGATTTTGATAGTTTCTTTGCAAAAGGGATGTACTATAAAAGATCAGCTAATCATTGCAAATGCATCAGTTTCTTGCAATAACTTGTAGCAGTAACAACACAAACTATCAACAAAACTAGAAAAATGAATAAGTTAATGTACGAGGATATCAGCGATGACGAGGACATGCTTTGCTTCGATGAAAAGAATTGTATTGACGATGCCATTGGTGAAAATCACATGGACTCAGAAGTAATATATATTGAAAACGATAATGATGAGATAGATATAAGAAACATCAATGATGATGCATTATTCTCCGACAGGAAAATGAATTCTTTCAACGAAAGTAATATCTCAAAATGCTTCACCGCCAAGTGTGAAAATAATGGCAATGATGAGGTAGATATAATAAACGTCGATGATGATGCATTATCCTCCGACAGGAAAAGGAAATTTAACGAAGACTCCGAAGATGATGACTCCGAAGATGATTACTCAGAAGATGATGATAATGAAAGCGATGCTCCAATATTTTATTATGAAGAACAAGGAGCGTGCGACCTATATTATGAAAAGAGGTTTAATTCGATGCAACGCAGTTATAAAAAAATATGGAGTAAAACGACTGCGTTGGTGGTAAAATTTTATATATTGTGTGCTTTATATTTTATAAAATAATTTAAATTAAATGTTATTGTTATTCAATAAATTTGAAAAAAATAACATCATGATCTAATTACTTCAACCATTTACCTAGTTATCTACTTCTAAGACAATAAATATTAAAAAAAAATAATATCTCTAATATACGACTAATAGCCGTAATCATTCTCATTTCTTTTTGTAATTACCTTGTTTTACAAGTTTGCAGAAATGTTGTGTGATGCAGAAGCAGCCTCATTTTCAAATTGCTTTGTATCTTGAGCATTAAAGTTTGCGAATACAAAAATTGTATGTATATATTCAAAGTTTGGGTATATTTATTTATGCAGACGGCCGTCCGAATCTCCCGGGACGGCCGAGAGCGTTTTATACACTAACTAAAGTAGAAAGTTACATGAAAATACAAATATATTTCATATCTAGAATGGTAGCAAAAACGAGAAAGTATTATACAACGTTGGTATACACACATACATCCATGTATACATATTTTCAGACTCAAAACGTGTTTTTGTTTTAAAGTTGCTTTGTGTTATATATTCGGAACGTTAATGCAACGAGTTTTAGGAAATACGTAAGAGAAAAAAAAATAAAAGAAGAACGCACGTCGCATATATTCATTTAGAATTTTATTGTCGTGCTTTCGTGTGCGGTGGCATGAAGCAACGGATATGCGATACTATTTATTGGATTTGTGGAATCCCGTGAGATATGTGATATTTGCGAATCACCTTCAGCAAAAGCTGTACGATTAATTACACTTCAGCAGAAGTGATGCGCAATTCAATTAAAGGTGAACGCAAATATCATCGATTTATACAATATTTGCTTTGATTGAAAAAAAAATACAGATTTATTTACACAACTTGTTTAAAATAGAATCTATTTTGTTGAAATTAAATTAATATTTAGAAAAACAAATGTTGACAATTAAACTAATTTATAAGGATTTAAAACCAAGTATTCGATAATAATTTTATGTATTTGTACGTTTTCTTTATACAATTATTTTTAAAAATTTCTTGATAAAATTCATATTAAAAACTATTATTAAATTTATATAAAAACCTGTATACAATTAATCATTTAAAATAAATATTGAACCATTAGTATATTCGCTACATGTTTATAATTATAATAATGAAATTATCATTTAAACTCGTTTACAATTATTTCATTAATTATATTGTTTTATTGCGTAATTTCTTATAGGATTCACCTTCAAAACAATAATGAAATTTCTATTCAATCTCGTTTATAATTGTTTTATTAATTATACTATTGCCTTTCGATTCAATTGCAACTAGGATTAAATTAAAGAAATTTCATTAAATTTAATAGATTATTGACTACTCCAACAGTATAGAATTAAATACAGAATTAAAATAATAAAACTATGTGCAATGGTTTCCAATTTATATGTAATACCACGACAAAATGTGGCATAACTTTCATAAAATAATAAAGTCATATTTGACAGGAAGATTGTTTCAAATGAAAGTGTCAATAAAGGGACGAATTTATATCTAATTATGTTAGGTGTACTGCAAGGTAGCGTGTTAGAACTCATTCTGTATATACTATATGCCTCAGATATGCACTTAACGGATAAAACAAGAGCTGCAACGTTTGTCGATGACACTGCAATGTAATCTAGTGCAGACCCAGCAAGTGCTTCACATCACCTGCAAGTAAACATGGATTTAATATAAAATTGGTTACAAAAATGGATAATGAACGTTAATTAATCGAATTCAGTGTATGTCACCTTTACCATGAGAAATAACTCGTACCCAGTAGTGAATTTCAATGGAAATTATAGAATATTGATCTGGAAAGATCATACACAAGCATAAAGAGAACAACTCGAAATTAAGTTCTTGAAACTCTACGGGAAGACTCTCCAATTTCGAAAGAAAACAAGCTACTGATTTATAAAGTAATTTTAAAACCTTACTTACAGAATACAGTTGTGTCAGGTCTAATAAGATCATACAAAGATTCCAGTTGAGGAGCCTAAGAAGGATCATTGGTTCTCCATAGTATATTACGAACAGGAGATTTCATGAGGACCTTCAAATGGAAACAGTGGAGGAAACAATTATGCAAAACAGTTGTAGATACCAAGTAGGCTAGACAATCTTCTTGACAATAGCTTAACAGCTCAGTGACATAAGCCACTAGATCTACCATTGAGATTCAATAATTAATCATTAAGTAACGGTTAATCAAGATCGGCCGATGTCCAATTAAATTTTGTCAACCACTAAGTCATCTATAGAATGTTTTTCTTATAAAACACGTTGTAAATAAAAAACAGAATTATATTTTTAGATAAAATAAAGTAACAGTAAAAAAAAGTATTATTAATATAATATATTTTTTGTGCGTATTTTAGCAGATATCAATACTTTTCATATTGCTACGGATTTTAGTATTTAACCAAATTGTAGCTATATAAAACCAGTCAATAAAATGCAATTTAAATAAGTGGACAATAATTAAAATAAAATTGCATTGCGTTCGACGCGTAATTTGAATAAACGTGAAATTCGTGTAAAACGTAAACTGCAATTGAGTAATTCCGATAATATAAAATCTATTTTGAATAACAACGTGTGTCTGCTTCTGCTGTGGGCGGGTATAGTGAGGGTGGTGGGTAGTAATCGGTAACATTCCTGGAACATGAATCCATTATATGCGGCCATTGTTAACGCAAATTAAATAAAACAGTTCGGATCCTGGATTTATTCATGTTCGGTGCGGCCCGTTTGAAGAGACATCATTTATAACAATTTTATTATGGAATATTCATGAGCGCACAAACGGTCGTCGCAGACCAATTTACCAACGAGCATTAATTGTTATATTATTATTATGTGGGCATTATGTTCTTTATTTTCCGCTAAATAATTCTGTTTCATTGTGTTCAGCCAATCGAATAAAATAATTACAAAATTATCTGCATTTAATATCAAGTATTTTAAACTTACGGAATAGCCATTAATAGATATATTAAACATATCAAATATGAGAGTACACTTATAATTGGATGATATTCCAAAAGATTATTTCAATCTCAGCAAATTAATAAAAAAATACAAAACTTGATATTTCCGGTTTTTTGTAATCAAATTGTGACGATTGTACTAGTGTTTTCGTTCCTGTTATTCGCAGTTTACTGGAAACCTTAAACAGCTCTGTGCTTCCCCAGAATATAAACTTGTTTGAGATGTAGATGAACAGGATATTAAGGAGTTACTGCAGGTTTCTGGTAAAGAACGCAAAAATAGTGATTCTGAAGATGATAAACCATGTGTTAAAATGACCTCCTATAACGCAATTCCCTTTAGTGCTCTGTCTTCGGGAACGCATCTGAAGTGCTAGACGAAGTCTTACTGTACTTTCAATTTTTTGTGTTGATACTATTTTGTCTTCTTTAGTAAATTTATGGGATTATTTCATTTACAAAGAGAATCTTAATAAATATTCGCTAGTAGATTGGAAAGTTTAATCATTCACTTCTACTAAATCAGTAGGTTTCGATTTCCATTTTGTATCAAATAAATTGTGGTTAACCAAATCTTTTGCGATTAGGGGATCCATTACCGGCCAGTATAATTACCGGTAAAATTTTATAAAGAAAACCGGTAATTTCGGTATTAATGCCATTGTTGTCTAATCTTTGCAAAAAAAAACGTTTATCGATAAACAAAAAACACTGTATATTTGGATGCCTTATTTGCGATATATTAAACTATAGTGGACGAATGGACCACTTGATGGAGCATTTTCATTATTAATATTCCAATAATCCCAGGATTTAGAACATGATTCCCGGGAGTCGGGATTATAAAAATTATCCGGAAAGCACTCACTAGTGATTGGTTAATGAACATAATCCGTTCAAAGATAATATTCACTACCCGAATTGTTTGTTAAATACATATCACCACTAGAATTAGCTCCCAAATGTAATGTCAATCGGTCGGTCGTAATCCAAATGTGTCTGTTTTCCCAATATACAAATCTTCGTTGTCAGAATTGTTCGTTAACCGAATATTGATTCACCTAATTTGATTAATTAGTTCTGGAGATTGGAATTTATATGTATTAACAATTTTACATACATACTCAGTCTTACATTTTCATCAATCTTGTTTTTTTCATATCCTCAATTATTTTTCTCTATTCTAAAGAATTTGTCATAAGTGACTAATAGCATAGAGATGTACTAAGGAGTTAACCTCAACCTGGGTGCCTTTGACGGTATTGATCCTCTTTAGTTTTCTATAAAAATATAAAATATCCTTGAGTTCCTTTATGTTAAATAATTCTTGGAGATCAGATCATGAAAGTTCCATTATAAGCTCTTCAATATCATCTTCATTCACCTTTCATTCCAGTTGTAACAGTTGTCACAATTTGATCAATAAGTTCAAATTTATCATCAGATTTTGCCAAATAGAATTCAACCCTATAATGATAACTTGTGAAAAATATGTAATTGTTTCTTCAGTTCTTGAAAAAAAATCTATCTTTCTAAGTAGTTACATCTTTCTTCATTTCCCCTTATTTTTATTCAAACATCTTTGTTTCGTTATTCCTTTACATTGCAAACATCCTCTGTCCACTCTCTACTTTGGTTAGATCCCATAAGCTTGTTTTTATATGAAAAGTTCAGAAAAGTGCTTACAAAAATTCAGAGAAGAAAACCGTCGAAATCTCGTTTAAGAAACCTTTAAATTTCGTAGAAAAAAAAACAATTCTGCATATGTACTTATGCGAACTAGTGCAAAGGAGGCACGAAAAGTTTTAAAGTAATGCAATTTACATAACAAGGAGATGCCAGAATTAGATTTTATAAAGAACGAAAATGTATATAGATATTTTTTTATGTCGTATAATTTTTATT